TCTTGAAACGTGCTACATAGATCAGGCTGGTCTCTAACACACAAAGAATCAATCAATCAATCACCTTTTGCCACTGGGGCTAAAGGTGATGTCCTGTACATATAGCAGTAAGACCATTTTTAAAAAGTGCTAAGGTGATTTGATTTCTGCTAAAACTGAAAAGTGAGAATTTGCTGCATTATCCCTTTCACTCATTATTAGGCCATAAATTCAAACATGACTATTGTATGCAAACTATGTACGGACTTTCATACACCTCATCTTCAATGCTTCCAGTACTGGCCAAACCAGCGGAGCAATCAACACAAGCTAACAGATATTCAAGATAAACTATAGCAAAAGTTACTGAACTATCTAAAAGTAACAACAAAACCTAGATTCTGAACTACATCACACTGACTTTTAGTGCTGCCTCTAACCAAGTCAAGATGGGAAATGTAGTAAGTCCAATAAGGAACAGGGCTGGATGAGGGCTGGAGAGTTGGCTCTGGTAAAGAGTACTTGTTGCTAGAAAGGACATGAATTTAATTCCCAGCACCCACATGGAGGAAGGCTACTGCCTCCTAAGGCACTAGGTTTCCATGTGGGGCACAGAGGTACAAGCAGGAAAAATACTTATACACATAAAATACTAAAAATTAAATAACTAAGTAACTAAAAATAATAATAAAGATCTGGGCTAATGGATTTTGTTTCTCTTCCTTGAGTTAAAATAAAAAAAAAATTCACATCTTATTAAAGCAACAATAACTATGCCAGAAGGACTTCCCCTATTTCTAAGAGTGCAAGAAAGAAGGCCTGAAATACTTAAATTTTGAAATCTTGTTAGATTCATAAAACAACAAAAACTAAGTAAAATTGAGGCTGCCCCAGAACATGCAGAGAATAGCTGCCAGTATCCTAGTAAAAGAGAGTGACTAAGAGATAGAAGAGGAAATCTCAAAAGTTACTAACTCCAGGGGAAGCAAAAGCAAATTCAAAAGCAGTGTGGAATAAAGAGCAAGAATATAATAATGTTTAAGCAATGTTTCTACTTTTTACTTTTTTATAATCCTAAACTTGTAAATTGACCTTTGTAAATAACAACAATACTGCCTCACAGTTATGTTATTCATAAAATGATGAAATCCTACTATCAAGGCAGTGTGTATATTAGAAAAGAACATGTAATAACTATAACCTTGGTTTCAATTCTTTATCAAAGGTACAAAAGAGAAAAAGGTTTAAGAATAAGATGAAAGGAATTTCTAAGACAAACAGAAGAAACAGATTTTTTTATTTTTTATTTTTTTGATACGGGTTTCTCTGCATAGCTTTGTAGACCAGGCTGTTCTCGAACTCACAAAGATTCGCCAGCCTCTGCCTCCCAAGTGATGGGATTAAAGGTGTGTACCACCATGACCTGGCTTCAGATTTACCTTTTTAATTTACTTTTATTTTATGTATGTTGGTGTTTTTGCCTGCATGTATGTCTGTGTAAGGGTGCCAGATTCCCTGGAACTGAAGTTATAAGACAGTCGTGAGCCACTATGTGGGTGCTGGGAAATGAACCCAGCTTCTCTGGAAAAGCAGCCAGTATTCTTAAGCACGGAGCCATTTCTTTAGCTCCAAAACAAACGTTTTTAGTTACCTACAAGTCTGACCTTTTGTTGTTGTTGCCTTTTTTTTTTCCCCCCTCGAGACAGGACTTCTCTGTATAGACCTGGCTGTTCTGGAACTCACTCTGTAGACCAACTAGGCCTTGATACTCAAAGAGGTCAACCAGCCTCTACTTCCCAAGTGCTGGGAATTAAAAGCATGTGCCACCACTTCCCAGCATCAAGTCTGATTATTCTTAATCCTTTGACTTTATAATCACTTAAAAGACCCACCCTAGATGGCAAAACCTAGGTTCTAATTTATAGGCTGAGAAACAAGACACATGTCAAGAGAAAAGAACCATCTTGTCTGGTGTAAAATAACCCTCAAGCTTAAAATAAATCTAAGATAGAGAAAAGAAAGCCCTTTTCAAATTTTCTCTTAGATTACTCTTTTTTTCCCCTTTCTACTAGGTTTGCTCTTCTATATTTGTAGCAAAAGGAAACTGTTTTATAGGTGTTTTTACACTGCTGACAAACCTTTCAACATTTTTTAAAACCAGATTACCATTGATGTTAAAATGAGATGTGTATGTGTTGGCAGATTATTCAGCCAAGAAGTTAATACACTTTCAATTCTCTCATCCCTCACACTTCTATAGCAAATATTTAAACAACTATTATTTAGGAGCGGTGATTTTAGGTGATAAGACTATAAGATGTAAAGGTTAAATTTCTAGAGTACAGATTTTTTTGAGTAGAAGACATAATATGAAATGTTAGAAGTAATTATGACAAAAGACTTAGATTTGAGAATATACAAAGACTCCTTTGTTATTTATGATCCAAAGTGTAAACTGGAATCTAAATGGGGGAATGGGATGGAGGGGACTATCTTTCAAGGGAAATGCATGCTATGGTCAAGGAGTCTAGAGTTGGGACAATGGGGACTTAATACTCAAATAGACACTGGACACCTATACAGCATTAGACGAGAAAGTGATGTATCATGCATGCTTAAACTTTGTGAAGCAATGTATGTATTCTCCTCATTTTGGCCTGTGGGCACACATGCAAAAAAACACCATTTTTGCTTGTTAAATTGAAAAAGTTAGAAAATTTTGCCATCTAAATTCCAGAGAAATGCTGCTATAATGTAATATAATGTAATGTTATATTTATCAAACAAAATCTTTACAAAGTTTTATTCCACGACCAAGAATGTTCCCACATCAAAAATCTAACAAAGGATGATCTGAGACAGAAGGTAACTTGTTCTTGCCTACATGAATGTATATACACGGTTTGTGTGCCTGATGCCCAGAGAAGCCAGAAGAGAATGTCAAATCCCTTGGAACTCAAATTACAGACAGTTCTGAGAAAGTTGTGAGCCATCACGTGGGTGCTAGAAATTGAACCCAGACGGACTGTCTGTAAAAGCGGCCAGTGCTCTTAACTGCAGAACCATTGTCTCCAGGCCTACACTCACATTTTAAACGTTTATAGAAAAGATCTCAAAGATTCCCATTTATAACGCTCTTGTTATTTGCTTGCACCTGAGTGTTCTTTGGCCTCCACAAAGTTCAATATTTTTTTTTCTCAATCGACTAAGTATTTTACAAGTATTTTTTGGGGGATGTGATAAGGGGAAGGTGCTGAAAATGTGTTTCTAAAGTTGTACTCAAACTTGTGGTAATTATCCTGCCTCAGTTTCCCAAGTTGGTTGCAGGTATAAATACGCTAGCACTTCCAACTAGAAATTATTACAAAGACAAGATATTCCAACCATTGTACCTGCAAAGCTCTTAATGACTATGATAAAACAGGAGCTCACTCCTTCAGATCTGAACATGATATGCAGTTTGAAAACCATTCCTGTTCTGAAAGAATGACTCATTTTTATGTCTTATCCACTGAAGTAATTAATATGAATAAGAAATCCTATATGCGGTCTAACTTTAAGCCTACCAAGTCATTCAGGAGCTCCAAGGAAAGGTTGAATAATGTCTATTAGTTTCCTAAATGATGACTCATTTAGCCAGAAAAGGGTCGACTACAGGACTCCTTAACAATACCAACGATTTAATTAATGGAGGATGAGAGTAAGGCTAGAAAAACAGATTAAGCAATCAGTCCAATTTCCATTATTAAATGGAAAACCACTGCTCTAAATACAGAAATATTTCTAGATTAAGTTGCTTGCCTACTCTAAGAATTCTACAGGCTCACAGGATTTATGTAACCATTTCCAAGGTTGAATTACTCTTTCTACACTTCACATAGACCAGTAGGTCTCAACCTTCATAATGCTGTGGCCCTTTAAGTACACTTTAATACAGTTAATGTTTTGGTGACCCTCCCCCAACCGTAAAACTACTTCATTGCTACTTCACAACTGTAATTTTGCTACTGTTATGAATTGTAATGTAAATACAAAACACATAGGATATCTGATATGTGAGCCTTAAAGGGGTCATAACCCACAGGTTAAGAACTGCTGACGTAGACAATAAGGGTTGTAAAACTGCTGCAAAACATCCTATGGGCTTTATTATTTTAATACCAACAAATGTCTATCACCAGCCTTACTATTTCTACTGACTTTTCTTTTTCTTTCTCTTGAGATAGGGTTTCTCTTTAAAACGACCCTAGCTGTTCTGAAACTCACTTGGAAGATGAGGCTGACCTCCAATTCACAGAGATCCACCTGCCTATCCACCTGGAGTTCTGGGATTAAAGGCATGTGCTAACAGTACAACTACACTTAAAACAGTGACAAATAAACCGGGCTTTGGTGTTGCACGCCTTTAATCCTAACACTCAGGAGGCAGAGGAAGGTGGATCTCTGTGAGTTTAGGGCCAGCCTGGTCTACAGAGTGGGAGCTAGGACAGGCTCCAAAGCAATACAGACAAATCTTGTCTCGAAGAACCAAAACAACAAAAACAAAACAGTGACACATATTCAGAATTTTGTATTTCTAAAGAAGAGAGGAAAGGAACAAGGAAAGTAAGTGTCTGTGTGCATGTGTAACTAAGTGAACCATTAAAGGGAGAAAACTATTACCAACAAATCACTCAAACATAGCTCTCTCACATAGCTGTTCACAGTTAAGAAACTGATAAGGCATTCCAACAGGAATAAAATTTGAAAACCTGGGCTGCAGCTATTGAAAATAACAATTTTAGAGACCAAATATAAATCTGTTTGAAATCAGAGAATTGAGGTGCTTGTTACATAATTTTCTAAAGTACTTTTATTTAAACCACACAGCTTTACACAACATAGAGTAGCAGTCTACCAAGGAGGTTTTGATGATAGCTGCAGCTATGTTTAAGGTCTTAGCCAGGTTTCTCACTGCTGTGACAAATACTTAAGAGAAACAGTCTAAATGAAGATATTCTTTATTTATCTTGCTCTTTCAGGTCTGAGTCCATGGTAGCTGGTTTCATTGTTTCTGGGCAGTGTGTCATAGTACAACTTTGTGATAAAAAAAAAAAAAGAGCAGCCCACTTAATGTCAGTAAGTAAATATCCAGGACAAGATACTTCCCCAAGGATATGCCTTCTATGTGGTTCTTCCTCCTAAAATTTCTACACCACCACCACCATCAACCACCACCAGCAGCAGCAGCAGCAGTTGAAGACCCTTCAACACATGTGCCTGTGGAAGAATTACTTTTTCCTCTTCTTCCTGAATATTGGGTGGAGGAGAATCCAGGACCTCACATCTTCAGCACTCTCTCTGTCTCAAAGTACCGATTGTTTGTTTTCAGAAAAGATCTTGATCAAGTTACCCTGGCAGCCCTCGAATTTGCAATCTCCTGCTGAAGCTTCCTTAGTAACTGGGATGATGAGCCTGAACCTAGGAAGGGCAGCATGCAAGTGACATTTCATATTTAAACTCTAAAAAGTGACATATTATGTGTCTTTCTTCTGTGTCTTTGGTTTTTGAGAAATGATTTTGTTGTAATGCCAAAGTTGGTCTCAATTTTCCTGCCTCTGCCTCCTGAGTGCTGGACTCATATCAGCATATGGCACTGACTACAAACATCTCATAAAAAAGTAAAAATGTGAGAGAAGCAAGCACTTCGAAGAGGAGCAGAGTTCAAGTAAAATAACAATCTGGAATGAGTTCAGAAGGCATAATTATATAAAACTCAGAACATGCTTTCTTATCCCTAATTTAAGTCTGTTTCTTCCTTGGTAAAATGAGGGTACTACCCTACTTCAAAGTGTTGTTACACTGACTTGGTATTTAATGCCTCTAGCAAAAGGAAACACACATGCATTGTATTAATCGCATAAATGTGAACATTATCTCTAGATTTCTGATTTGTGTGCCTGTATGTATGCACATACATATGGGTGACAGTGGAAGTCAGAAAGTGTCTGATCCTGGATCTGCGGTTACAGGCCATTTTGAAGTACCTGATAGGGGTGCTGGGAATCAAATTCCAGTCCTCTCCAAAAGCAGCAAGAGTTCCTAATTGCTGGGCTATCTCTCCAGCCATTACATCAACATTTCAGGAAAAATAGTAGTTATTTTAGCTTTAATGTATCACATTAACTTTATTACTCGCCCTCACTATTGGTGGAGCTGGCACACAACAGTAGCAGTGACAGCACAATTGAGCTGCGTGCGTGCGTGTGTTTGTGCATGCACGTGCACGTGCACACGCATGCTTCTCAGGTACAGGCATTCTGCTTGAAATTAGCAAGACCAAACATGGAATTGCAAATTTTTTTAAAACTAATTTTAGTAATTTCTTTTCCAGAATAATAAACCCTAAGGTTTCCTGGCCACAATATATAACCATAAAATACTTTTAGTAAAAAGAACTTAAAAAAAATATGTATGGGGGTTGGAGTGATGGCTCAGTGATTAGCAGTGCTTGTTCTGGCAGAGGACCTGGGTTCAATTTCCAGCATTCACATGGCAGTTACAAAACCACCTATGGCTCCAGTTCCAGGAGATCCACTGCCCTCTTCTGACTTCCAGGGGCACCAGGCATATAAGCAACGGGCAGACAAACATCCAAATACTCATATACATAAAATAAAACATTTTAAAAAATCATGTGTTTGTGTGGGGGGGGGGTGGCAGCTGGAGAGATGGCTCAGTAGTTAAGAGCACTGTTTGTTCCTCCAGAGTACCTGAGTTCAATTCCCACAGCACCACATGGTGACTCATAACCACTTGTAACTCCAGTGTTTGACAAAAGGTCAAGTGCGTGTGAGTGACTGTCATGTATGTGCAGGTACGCATGGAGAACAGAAGAGGTTAGAAGATTCCACTTAGGGATGGAGTTACAAGTGGTTGGAAGCTAACAGACATTGCTGCTGGGAACCAACTTTGGAACCTCAGAGAGCAAAAAGCACTCCTGCTGAGCCACTTCTCCAGCCCAGCAAAAAGAACTTCTATCTTCTTGGAACACTTTACCATTTTTACATAAATGCAAAATTGAGTATACCTATTTCTAGCCTCATTTCCATTAACATGCCAAACATCACATTTTCAAATAACAGATTCACTAACCACCATACCAACATACAGTATCTCCAGATTCTAAAGATCCTGAATCCACATTAAGTCCATGGCTTTCATAATACTGAGGCAGGAAGCTTAGCCTACGTTACACAGCAAGATACTGACTCCAAGAGAAAAAAAATTTAAATAATTTACTTTCATTTTATATAAATGGGTCTTTTATCTGTATGTATATACATGGACCATAACATGTGTGCATGGTGCCCAAGAAAGATGGAAAGGCAGTGGATTCTGTAACCAGAGTTATAGACAGTTGTGAGTTATCATGAGTACAATTTACATTACAGCTCAATGTTTATTTTAGATTTTGAAAAGCATATAATGGCATGCATTCATAACTGTGTCAATGTTATCCATACCTAAAAAAAAAAAAAAGGCCAGAGAATGGTGTTCCAACAGCTCAGACAATTCCCAGTCTTTCGACCTTAGTACAGAGAGAAACCTTACACCTATTTTCTGAGTCAAGAAAGTCTTCTCTTCTTATTGATACATCCAGACTATCATCAAATCCTTCCTAAGAAGTTGTTAAAATATAGCAAGCTAAGCTGGGCAGTGGTGGCGCACGCCTTTAATCCCAGCACTCGGGAGGCAGAGGCAGGCAGCTATTTGTGAGTTCGAGGCCAGCCTGGTCTACAGAGCAAGTTCCAGGACAGCCTCCAAAACAATACAGAGAAGCCCTGTCTTGAACCCCCCCAAATATATATAGCAAGCTAACTGTTGTGTTAATCCATATAATCTCTATCATCACCTTCCTTACCCCCAAGCCATCATTTTCTCACTAGAATACTACAACAGCCCCCTAATCCCCATTCTCCTGCTCCTGTCTATGGCAGTAAAGCATTCCTTTCAAACTACATCAGTTCAAAGAGACAGTTTTCCATAACTTAGTGTGGTGGTTCTCAACCTTTGGGTCATGACCCACAGTCAACTAAAACATCAGAAAACACAAATGCTTACACTACTTACAGTTAGTTATGAAGTAACAACAAAAATAAATTCATGTCACTACAACATGAGGAACTGTATTAAAGCATCACAGCATTAGGAAGGTTGAGAACCACCACCTTTGAGTAAGCCCTACAATCCTAAAAGCAAACAGCATACTGGTTTACATACAAAGTGTCTCAGCCTCCCTTTCTTTGACTTTACCTTCTATTCAGTCACTTGCCTGCTGACACTAAATGCGGGCACCTGTTGTTTGTTTTGCCAGAAACACCTTCCCCTTGTCTCCATGGGTGACTGCCCATCTTTATACAAACAGCACATCCATAGCTTGAACCATCCAACTTATCACTATACTGCCTATGGTTCTACCCTCTGCACATCACTCTTTTCTGCTTTATTTTTCCCACAGTGTTTCCAATATTATGTGACTATTAACTTGTTATCTTGTCAAACACTTCCACAAGAAAACAGGGGCAGTATTTATATGCTGTTTTCTGCAGCAAATAAATGTCTGGTCTTCAAAAATAAGCACTCAGTCATTACCTGTTGAATTGATGAACTAATGAAAAATTAACGAATAATGATTCTTTAGGATGACATAACTGAGAATTGGTGGGGAATGGGAAGCCAGAATGAAAGGCCTAGCCTTTGTTTAGAGGCTTCAAATTCCTCTATTAGAAATGTTCGTGGCCTGAAAGAGGCTGGGCTTCTAATCAAGGCTCTAATATAGCAAACTAGGTATACAAATGTACTTATCCTACTATCAATAATTATATAGGCATTTTATAAAAATACTTAAACAGGTATTCATATTATAAAATATGGTATATTCATGTGATGAGGGGTATCCTTCTGTATGCTGTGAATATGTTTTTCTTATTGGTTGATGAATAAAGCTGTTTCAGCCAATGGACAGGCAGGATGTAGCCAGGAAGGAAGTATAGGCGGGGCTACCAGACTAGGATGATTCTGGGAAGACGAATGGGAGGGTGAGTTGCAAGAAATATTCCATGTAGCAGGCATCACCAGTAAGCCAAGACCATGGTGGAAATACACAAATGAATAGAAATGTGTTAATAATTAAGAGAGAGCTAGACAATAAGAAACCTGAGCCATCAGCCAAACACTTTATAATTAACATAAGCTTCTGTGTGTTATTTGGGACTGACCCACTGCAGAACCAGTCAGGACAGAAACTTCAGTCTACATTCATATTTATAACACAAGTGCTACAAAATTAGGTGGCTAAGAAATACTGTATGCAGAAGGTCTGTATCAACCAGATTATTTAGAAACAAATAATAAAATGATAATTTAAAAATTATCCTAATCTAGCAACTACACCTCATGAAAACGAAAGGACTCCCATTATAAACAAGTGTTTAGTATAAATACACTTGTCTACAGGGGCACCAAGCATCAATACCTTGATTAGGGTGAGAGAAATGTGTGCCTCTCATCTCTGGTCACAAGATAATTTCATGCCCCCAGATTCTAGCTCCTAACTCAACAAAACCAACTTTCATGGTTGAGAATAAAGGTCAGCAGAAGGGTGGTCCCTGATACCAAAGTAGCAATCCTTCTTTGTTTTGATTTACATAGGGACTTACTGTTTATTCCTGGTGGGCCTGGAATTTGCTATGCAGACCAGGATGGACTCTGAGAACTCACAAATACTCCTGCCTCTGCTTTCAAATGCTGGAACTAAAGTTGTGTGCTAACACAGTGAGCCTGACTCCAATTGTATGAATGCTCTAAATGATTTGGGAAAGACAGTTTAAAGAAAAAGTGGGCCACTGAGATGGCTTCAGCAGTATAAGTACTTGCTGGCAAGCCAGAAGATCTAAGTGTGAGCTCCAGAACTCCCATGATTAAATGGGAGAACACACTCCCACTAATTGTCCTCTGATATTTACATTTGCTCCAAGGCAGTCACCTAATAAACAACTAAATGTGTTTTTTTTTTGGTTTTGTTTTAAGTTAAGGAGACCAA